TTTATTGTTCCATGATTAAATAGGTCAAAAGCCAGACCCAGGTTTCACCAGGCTAAAATAGGTCAGGAGGCCAAAAGAAAGAATCTGTTCCCCTGTTCCTTTGCAACATTGGCAGAATTCAATTCCTTGCAACTATAGGATCATGGTCTTCATTTCCTTGTTGGCTATCAACTAATGTCCATTCCCAGCTTCTAGAGGATCCATATTTCTTGATTCATGAATTTGTCTCTCTATCCACAGAGGTACCAATGCCAGGTCAAGTCCCTCTCATGCTTCAGCTATCTCCTTTTTCTTCTTCAGTCACATCTCTCTGAGTCGCTCTTCATTTCTCTTCTACTTTTAGGACTTGTGATTAGATTGGCTAACCACAGTAACCCAAGATATTCTTCCATCTCCTGGTCCTTAAGTTTAAGCAGACCTGCAAGTTACCTTTTGTTTATAAGGTAATATGTGCATAGGCTCATAGGGTGTAGTCATTATTCTGACTGCTATATATATGGTCTTTTTTAGGAAGAATATGACCCAATTAGAACTGAACCAAGGATCACACATAACAGAGAATATAAACTTCAGAATCAATTTAGTGAAGTTACTAAAACAACAAATAGCAAGAAAAACAAATTCAGAACACAGGGTGGGATCTGATTTCCAGAGATACCACATTATATTATTAAAATGTCCAGTTTTCAATAAAAGTGCTAAAGCATGTAAAAAATAAACAGGAATGTGGTGCATACAGTGGGAAAAAAATAGTCAATACAGTCTCTGAGAAAGCCCAAACATCATACTTGTTAGATAAAAACTTTAATAGGCTACTATAAATGTGTTCAAAGAATTACAGGAAACTGTATCTCAAGAATTAAAGGAATGACTGAAAAACAGCATTTCACCAAATAGCAAATATCAAAAAAGAGGTAAAAGAGGTTTTTTTAATAACCAAATATTCTGGAGTTGAAAAATGTAATAACTTGAAGTGAAAAGTCCACTAATTGAACTCAACAGCAGATTTGAGCTGAGAGAAGAAAGAACCAGAACTTGAATATATGTCAACTTAAATTATCCAGTTTAAGGAAGAGAAAGACAAAAAATGAAGAAAAATGAACAGAACCTCCAAGCCACCATTAAAGGTAACAACATACAGATCATAGGAGCCCCAGAAGAAAAGAATGAAAGACAGAAGTAGTATATCATGAAATGCTAGCTGAAATATTCCATAATTTGTGAAGAACAGTAATCTATATACAAAGCAGCTCATAAGTCCAAGTATGATAAATTCAGAGAGACCGACCCCCAAACATAGTAACCAAACTGTCAGAAGCTAACAACAAAGAGAATCTTGAAAGCAGTAAGAGAAAAACAACTCATGTTGTCAAGAGATCCTCAGTAAGATTAACAGCTGAGCAAGGCTCTTAAATTCAAACCCCAATACCACCCAAATAATAATAATATTAACAGCTGACTTATCAAAGACCATGGAGGCCAGAAGACAGCTGGATGACATAGTCAATGTGGTATTTTTATAAAGCTTACCAATCCAGAATTTTTAATCGAATAAACTACTCTTCAAAAAGGAAGGAGAAATTAAGACAGACATAGGTAAACCAAGACTGTGAATGCTCATTGCCAGCAAATCTGCCTTATAGGACATTGTACAGAGAATCCTTCAGGCCGAAGTGAAAGAACACTAGACATAATTCATATATGTACCAAAAAAAGAATACTGATAAAGACAAGCATATTGGTATATATCTTACATTGTTAATATGACAGCAATACCCAAATGATCTACATGTGTATTATAATCCCTGTTAAAATCTGATCCTAAAATTCACAGGAAATGCAAAGCACTCCCAATAGTAAAAAAAAAAAAAAAAAAATCTTGAAAAAATAAAACCAAGCTAACTCACATATTAGTCAGTAATCAAGACTATATAATGTTAGCATATAAAAATTGAGTAGAGTTTGTAAGTATAGAAATAAACCCTTAGAATTTATAGTAAAAATGATTTTCAACAAGGTGTGCCAAGACTACTAAATATGAAAGTAATAGTTTGGTTTGGTTTTTTTTTTTTTTTTTAACAAAACTGGTTATCAACATACAAAAGAACAAAACTGAATTCCTTTTTGACACCATACCAAAATGAACCTCAGACTTAAATGCACGAGTCAAAATTATAACCAGAAAAAAACTTAGAAGTAACTCTTTATGACCTCAGGCTAGGCAGTGGTTTCTTAGGTATGAGCACAAGCACCAGAAGGAAAATAGGGAAATGGGACTTCATTCGATTAAAAACTTTGGCTTCAAATGACAGCGCTAAAAAGGTGAAGAGAGTGCACAGAATGGGAGAAATTTTTTCAAATCATATCTAAGTAACTTGTATCCAGAATATATAAAAAATTCTGACAACTCAAGAATAAAGACAAATACCTCAATTTTTAAGATAAGCAAAAGATTGGAATAAACAATTCTCAAAAGAAGATATTCCAGTATCTAATCAGCACAGGAAAAGATACTCAATATCATTAATTACTGGGAAATTTCAAATCAAAACCACAATGAGATACCATTTCACACCCTGTAGGATGGCTGAAATAAAAGACAACTGGTAAGTGTTAACAAGGATGTGAAGAAATTGGAAGCCTTATTCGATGCTGGTGAAAATATAAAATGCTATAGCCAGTTTTAAAACTGTTTGGTAAGCTGGTTATGGTGGGCCACAAATACTCAGATTCTTGAGTATTTGCAGCACTCAGGAGTCTGAGGCAAGAGGATTACAAGTTTGGGGCCAGCCAGGACTACATAGGGAAACCCTGTCTCACCAAAAAAAAAAGAGTTACCATATTCACCTAGCAGTTTTACCTACCAGAGAGAATTGGAAACATGGATCCACTCGAAAATATTACACAAATGCTCAACAGCATTAGTACAATAGCCAAGGACTGGATATAAGCCAAATGTCTGTTAATGAGTAAACCAAATGTGATGTATCCATAGAATAGAATATTATTTGGCAATAAAAAGGAGTGATGTACTGATACATGCTAAACATAGGTGAACCTTGAAAATATAAATGCTCACAAAAGTCCATATATGTCATTCCATGTATATGATATGTCTAGAAACCCATAGAGACAAAATATATTAGTAGTTGCCAGGGAGTGTGGATGTGGTATTGAAAGTAACTGCTAACTGGCATGTTTTCACTTTGAGGTGATGTAATTGTTATAAAATTAGATAGTGGTGATGGTAGTTACAAATCTCTGTGAATATACTAAAACCCACTGAAGTACACACTTTTAAAAGGTGAATGCTATGGTCTATCATATCTCAATAAAATTGTTATTTCTGAAAAGGGAGCTTTCACATTTCATCTGTTTTCGTAAGAATGTATCTGCATGTTTGTGGTATGATTTTAAAAAGAGAAAATAAACTAATAGGTGGTTCCTTCAATATTTTCAGTTCTAATATTCTCGGACCCTAAACTATTAAGATCATTGCCATGAACAGATAACCCAAGGAAGCTAAGGCCCAGAGCCCTGGAGGTGGGTGGAAGCATAGAGGCAGAGAAGGGAAGAAGTGAAGGCCTGGGTAGGAGGGAATTTTCATATTTTATCCCCTGAAGTAAGCATAAGATGCTTTGGGGCCATGGGATCAGTTCTTCTCTGCCCTTTCCTAACCTCAGGGGCCCTTTCACTATACAAGGCCCAGCTCCAAGCTCCAATATCACTCATCACAGGCTTGGTTCTTTAAGAAGCAGACACTGGATAGAGTTAGAAGTACAAAAGATTTAGTGGTAAACTCCTACGAAAGAAAAGAGGAGGAACCAGGATTGGGCAGAGGGTTAGCATCAGACCATAATCCAGACCACACAGAAATCTCCGCCAACTCCACAGGGAGCTTCTGCCCCTAAGATTTCTATTAGAGGAATTCTCTGAGGGAGGGAGATAATGGAAATAGATAGTCCCAGCATCCTATCAGTAGCTGAGAACCACCCCCAAGAAGAGCATGAATTTGGGTTAGAACCTGAGGCAGATCCTGAACAGTCTCTCACCTGGAGGTGGTTAGCTAACCTTATTTCTTGAGGCAACAAGTATTTCCTTAAAAGGGAGGTATCAGCACCTCCAAATCTACCATGTCTCTCCAAAATGTGCCTTAATTCCCTCCTCTATCCCAAGGAAAAGGTAATAGCTTTCTCCTGAGACAGAGACAGCGTTCATTGACCACTCTTGGGAACATTTACCCCTACTCCCCACTAGGTTCTGAACTCATTAGAAAACAGAAACCCACTCTGAATCCCTAGTATCTGATACAGAGGAGGCTTCAGTGGAATAGAATTCTCTTGAGATCAGAGACAGAAAACTGGGGGTAGAGAGGTGCTAGCCCAACCATAATATGATAACTTTTTATACTTACCAACCAATGGTTGGAGATTACTATATGAAACATCTGTTGTTATTACTTGTGCTGCGAACTACAGATGAATCCACTGTAATAAGGGCACAGGTCTAGGAAAAGGCCCTAGGAGCCAACACCTTGTCCCATTTCCAGTTTGGTGATTGCCATGCGTCTGTTCTACAATTAAGGAAAGGGGAAGAGGCTTTTTTTGTGAGTGATGTATACTTTTTTTCAAATGTTAATAGTATAATATATAGTATAGTAGGTCCTGTTTCTACAATTAAGGGATCATTTCATTAGGGAAAATAGTCATTTAACCATTGATTTCTGGAGATTGAATTTTTTAGGTTTATTTTTTTAAAAATATGCATGGACTGTGTAGTATAAATGACATGTAGAAAACCATAGTGGCACTTCATTGTTATAAAAAACTGGTATTTCTTCTGCACAAAAATGCATACCTCTGAATACTCCACAGCATCTTTATTTGGGCAGTGTAAACAAGGTGGTCTCATAACTGATCACCCTTTATTAAAACTAATTGTTTGAATAGCTTAGTGAAAAAATCTGGTGTTTCATTATTGCTTCTTAATTTTCCTTACAGGACAGAGTTCTAAAAACATCAGCTCATCTCCAAGCATTGAGAGTTTGCCTGGAGGAAGAGAATTCACTGGCTCCCCGCCTTCATCTGCTACTAAAAAAGATTCCTTTTTTAGCAACATCTCTCGCTCCCGCTCACACAGCAAAACTATGGGCAGAAAAGAATCTGTAAGTATTTTGGGACAGTTTATTTGGTTCTTTATCCTTTATTTTCCTCTATCTTGCTACATTTATAAAGCTTCTCTAATGCTAGCTCTATAATGTTCTCAGAACTTCTGTGAACTAAAACAAATTACTGTATCAAAAGTATCTGAATTTTGTCATTATAATTTAGTGATATGTCAAAACTATGGCTTGAATCTGGAAAAAAGATAGTGTCACTTTAAAATAAGTTGAATTTCTTTGTACTGTACAAATGCCTTTTTGTCAAAGCCTGTTATACTTCGAGACTCAGCAACAATATCACACATTACAGACTTGTTTCTTTAGGAAGCACAAACTGAGATGGAATTAGAAGTATGAAAGGTTTATTGGGGAGCAGCACCTGTGAAAGAGGAGGAGGAACCAGGATTGCTAGAGGAATGGCATCAGACCATAATACAGACCTCATCAAAGTCTGGTTGGTTAGGTTTTTTTCTAAAAGAAGTTAGTTTTTTCCAAAAATTTAAGAGATAACATTATACCAATGGGAGATTATGACACTTGAAATAAGCCAAACTGATTTTTCCATTTTAAGTATTTCTTCAAAATTAAAAATAATTATTTTACCATTTGTTTTAAAATGCTGTAAGAACTACATTTAAATTATGGTGTTTTGATAGTTTATGCATAAGATCCTTTGTATACATTTCTCAAAAGGACATATTTAAAGCATATCACCTGCTTTAAAGTCTTGTTGTGTCTAAAATTTTTATAAACCAACTTCATATTTAACCATATCTTAAAACTAGTTCAACATCTAATAGTTTGACGTGAAGAACTCATTTGCCCACTGCAAGAGGATAGGATGTACAGGTAATAAAAGATCTGGCTGTGGGTGAAATGGTCCTAAATTAGAAAAGCAAAGTGTAATATGTACCTGTATAACTTTGAATTTCCTTGAGTAAGACACTCAGCTTCCTAGTGTTTCATCCACCCCATTTGCAAATTAAGCAATATACAGTTACACATCATACGATGAGGGGACTACTTTGTGAGAAGTGCTTTGTTAGGCCATTTAGTTGTTATATGAACATCATCGAGTGTACTTACAAAAACTAAGATGTGGCTATGATGTCATTACGATATAATTATATGGGACCACTGTCATATATGTGATCCATCAATGACCACAGCATCATTACGTGACACAGGACTGTACTTTGCTCTTGGAAGGGAAGAGTTCTTGTGAACTCTAATGCTCTCTTAGGACCCCTTTCAGCATCTAGGAACTGCAGTTCTGTAATCTATGAAAGAACAAGATGGAACTTTTGTTTAAAGATGGCACCTTCAATGCAAGCATTACCTCTGCTACCGCCTAAAACTCTCCTTCAGGGAAAATACAGGCAGTTAAAACCTCAATAAGAAAACAGCAGAGAGGCAGGTGCCAGTGACTCACACCTGGAATCCCAGCTACTTTTAAGAGGTAGAGATCTGGAGGATCATGGTTCAAAACCAGCCTGGGCAAACATTTTGCAAGACCCTATGTCAAAAAAAAAAAAAAAAAAAACAACATCACAACAAAGGTCTGGTGGAGTGGCTCAAGGTGTACGCCCTGTTAGAATTAATAATCCCCCAGTGCCAAAAACAGACATACAAGAGACAGAAAATCTTGACAAGGCAATTTCTCTTGATCAAAAGGGTGCAAGCATGTTCTCACTCCAGCTAAGCAACGTGCAAGCACACAATGGCTGACAGTGGCTGCTCCTTATATCCCTGACGCAGTCATACCTGCCCCTCACCTGGGATTTGTCCAGGTCAAAGGTTCACAGTCTTTCACTGTTGGCTAAAAGGCTTAGAGGATGGGTTAAGACATGCAGTTTGGTGGGCAATAGAGTTGTACAGGAACCCAGAAGAAGAAGCAAGGACCCTTTAAACATACAAGTCACTTAAGATGGTGACATGAGGAATTTTTAAGTAATCTAAGAGGGTAACAAATACTTTGATAGCAAAGATCATTTTTCTTACAATTTCCCCCTCTTTAATTTAAATTCTTTTCTTCAAATTCATTTAGGAGCTGCTGGCTCTCATGTTCCTGCATTTCTAATAGAAACAAGTTATTCTGGTAGGGCAGGGATGATTGTTTGGTGAGGG